ATATTAAATGTTTTTATACCAAAAAGTCTAGTTGGCCCTTCACTGCCAATATAAAATAATTTTTATTTCGATACACGAATTTTATAATCAATCGGCAATACGTTGCCTACAACCATTTAATAAAGATAGACCACATAAATATAACAATTTGTCTCGCTGACTCCTTAGAGACTGACAGCTGACAGCTGACAGCTTTCTAGTACAGACCAGAAGGTCCCATATCGGGTTACAAAGGGAGACTTTATTACCTTTTATCTTGAACCTCCTCGAGCTTTCCTGCTTTATACCAACCTCTACCTATTAGAAGTCACTCTTACGGAACATATTAATTGAGATAAATTAACGATATAAATTCGAGTTTCATTTAAATAAATAGATGCCGAAACGAAGCGGCAGAAAATATAGAGAACGCCTACAAAGGTGGTTTACACGTACTACAGGACGAGGTGTACCCGTGTCTATAACACCCAGCTCACCGAACCCTACAGAAAGAGGGTATTTCGTAATTAATTCAGGAAATTATTTTATCGAAATCCGCGCGTCGCTACGACCACTGCCATCGCGGCCCGTCGCGCCGACGCCACAGGCAACCGAAGAAGTACCAGAATATTTAGAATTAAAATCAAAAGACCAAGAAGTTTTGGTATCCGAAATTAAATCTGAAAACGACCTAAATAGCAGTGAGCGAGCTGTAATACAAGCCTTAACGAATGTACTTACCAATGATGATTAAATTCCAATAAAATATATTTTTTTTTATATAGAATTTCTCAATGAAATAACTGTCAATTAACGCATCAACTTTTATTCATCCATAACCCAAGTACAATATTCCCTTTTTCCTTATTATAATTTGGATCCTTTATTTCTGTCTAATTAGTAACATTTTACATATTAAAATTTCTATTCAATAATACAATTACTATAAGAGTGTCAATAATTAATTCAAGTTCTGCTATCAAGTCTCTGAATTTTATTCTTTATATATTAGAAGCGTAACATAAAATCACATTATTTTTACACGAATTCACGACACGAATGAATTACTTCCTCTCGATGCACGGTTCTCTACCAGCCCAGGCTATTGTCGGTGTATGCAGGCAGGCCTGAAACAAAAAA